ATAGAAGAAACTAAACCAAAACTATGTTCCTGAGCGCCATCTTATACACATCTATTGAATTATGGTTAAACTAGTTAACATCTTCACTCTGATTTCGTTATAACATTTGGTCCTCGCTATGCAGTGAGAATCTTATCCGTATTTTCAGGCCATTTGCAATTTCAACACATTCAGAAAGCAAAATATATGATGTTATGTTAAAATCTCAACTTGAGACGAAAATAGACATACAGAAAGAAACGAATGGACCAAAAAATACAGGAGGTGATATCTCTTACCTTGCAATACAGTTTTATAAATTTTCAAAAGTAAGAAAGTCATATATAGCTATGCACCTTAGAAGTTAACTTCGAGCTAAAATTTCTAGTTGCCAATGTTTGATTTATTCACTAAAATTGTTTCATTCATCTCTATTTTATGACTTCTGATTATAAGGGCTACACAGATTTCATTTGACAACAGTAAATTTCCTAACCGCATTGGACTTGGGAACTCATTTTAAAATTTTATGCTTCTAAGAAATCTCTGAAAAAGTACAGAAACATAATGAGTTTTTGTAAGTTAATTTTAATTCTACCGTTTAAATTGCAGCATATACTCACCAGATAGAGATATTTCAGTTTCTGGACAGGCAAACGAAAACGTAGCAGCTGATAACGTGGAATTCAACTCCGACATAACTAACAAGTAGGTGAAAAATTTATCCCAATGAAATAATTCTCTAGAGCAGTCTAATTTTTCTCATTGCAGAGTGGCACTTTTTAAGAACAATTTCATAAATCAAAGAAGAAATAAATAAAAAATAAATTAAAAGCCTTTTAAATATCTTTTTCTGTTTTTTCAAAGCTTAAAAGAAAGAAAATGATTTTTCAGGTCACGATACAGTCGTGGAAAATATTCTTATCATGTGTTTAGGAGTTCGCTGAAATCAGGCAAATTTTGGTTGCGCATTTTTCGACCATGGAAGTGGCGGAAAAGGCATCATAGAGAACGGCTGCGGTTAGAATATTTTTAGAATTTATTTTGAGATTTCATGGTGCTTTTGAAATATCCCAAAAATACTTTTAATATTAGGTGAAGCCTAACAAAATACTGCTTATACTTCTTATACCATTGCGCTTAAATTCTCGTTCATTTCATTATTTAGTAGGTGCATTATTGTTGTTATCATTTTTGTTGTACTGCTTATGTATTGCCGGAAAATTAGTACTCATCTATATGCATATAATATTGCTGAGTAATAAAATGATAAGGTCAAGATGTGTGTTCATTTGAGTGCTATTTTTCTAGACTCAGCTGATAAACTTGGCAAATACCTTATCTTGTTGGAAATTGCATACTTAGTGTAAAAGGGACAGATTTAAAGCATAGTGGTATTTGTTCGAAAAGCAGCTTTTCGAAATGTATAACTATATAACTATATTTGCTGTTAGAAGCATAATCAGGTTGCTTTTTAGACGAGTTGCAAGTGATTATAAACAAGAAAATTCGCCACCTGCCGTCATACGCACATCTTTCAGCACTTTGGAATCACTCTTCTCTGTTCCGGATGTTGATGGTTGGTTTTATAACTTTCAGTTAATAAATATTACAATTTTACTAGTGTTTTTATTTTGTAGACGAATAGTAATTTTTAGTCGACCGTAAAGGAAATTTTAAGCGTTCTAGCGATTTGTTTTGCTTATTTTTTTTAAATCAACTTCCTTCTTTAGTACTTTTGTATTTGTGTATGTTTTCATAAGAATACAATATAGCTATCATTTCTAATAAATTTGCATCTTTTTATTTATCGAAAAGATTGCGAATGACGCAGTTGCGAGTGCTTGAAACTTGTGCTAGAGCTTCAATTATAAAACATTGTAGGTATTAAACATTGTAGGTTATTAACGAACTCTATAATATATCTGCGATACTGATTTATTGCGATTTATTGCTAGTCTGAATACTAGTGAAACTTGAAATGTTAAAGGTTTTACTGTTAGATTAATCATTTTGCAGACTTTTTGTAGGTGTTTTTGCACTACCAGTTTGTTGATGATTATTGTTATAAAGGGCATCAGTGATAGTTCCGAATCAGATAATGTCCAGTTGCGATTAAGAAAATATTATTTATAACTTTATGAGTAGTTGAGTATTCACTTAGCATTGTTTATTAGGCCTTATCACCACCGATGATGTAACTAATTGAGCAGCTGAAATTTTATCAGTTTATAATCACCGACAATTTTTGTTTTTCACTATTTGGTACATGATTCATAATTCAAAAGCTGTGAAATTATTGGATGACTGGGAATTTATGCTTTAGGTGAATACTTTCTGTACTAGCTATATGCATAGAGAGTAGGAAAGTGCAGCGATACTATGATATTTGTTCTGCCCTTATAATCTCTGAAGCAGTTGTTCAGTTGATTAGTCGATCAATTAATAATATGTTTAACTGTAAAGAAAATTTTTTGGTTTGCTAAGACGAGGGAGTTAGCAAGCTGGGGGCAGAAAATCTATACAAATCATTTTACTCCATCATTTTTGTCTCTGTTCATGTCTCAGTCTATTCAAATATTAATAAGTAGTGATAGATGCTGATTGAAATAATCTATTCCCTTAAATTTTCAATTATCATTTACTATTGTAAAACTTTTTATCTTGGTATTTAAATACATCAATTTATTATTTTTTCTTAAATCTATTCAGAGACGTACAGGCCGACACAGTGGAGCTGTTTAAACTCGCCAACTCAAGAGCCCGTCCGAATAAATTTGGATTCATTAAAGGGGTAAGACAACTCCCATGAAAATATGATTTTTCTTTAGTTTTTGGTCTTAAGCATATAATGCAGCTATATTTTCATTTAAATATTTTCAAATTCAGCTGAAAAGATTTTATCACTTAGGTTTCAGAGGAAGCTCTGCTGAAAATGTTCTTCGCTTGACTACTGAAGAAGTAGTAGTGCCACCAGTTCAAAAAGTTGTAATCGTTGAGCACAGAGATGCACTTGGTGCAAGTAATTTAGCGAGTATCAAAGCTGTGGAAACAGGTATTGATCATTTTACGACAGAAAATTTGGTAGATTTTGAAGCCGCTTTCATCACAGCTCAAGGTAATTTCTAGAAATATGAAAAGTTACGTTTTATAAATTTTTTCGAATGTTGTTTTTGTTTTTTTCTTTAAAAAAACTATTAGCTCTGCTTGTTTTTGCAGGCGGACAGTTTAATCAAAATAGAGAAAGCATAAATGGTGAGCAGCTTAACGATCAGGAATACGGTACTCTTCAACTGGATCCTGGAGAAATGAAAAGTATAGTTGTTGAAGAAATCATAGCGAAAGAGCCTGATCTGTCAGCGCGACCAAATAAACCTGTGTTAAAGAAGCCTGGCGCACCTAGTAGATTCAGGCTTGTAAAACGAATACCGAATCAAAAAATGCGATTGAGCGAAAGGATTCCCGGAGCAATAGATAGTGATGGTCCTGAACAGTCATTGAGGTTTTTTTTGGGATTTGAATATTGTTAGTCAAAAATAAGGATTTCAATTTCTGAAGACATTTCTCGAGTTTCTCAATGCAACATATTTTAGTTCTAATGGGCTGAGGTTACCGTCCAGATTAACTGATGATAGCGATAGCGATACAGACATCCAATATCGTGATGAAGAATTAAATAAACGTCATGGTATTGGTCATAGTACGAATCCAGCCATTGCAAGTCGTATTACGCCGTATCCCTTATCTAGTGAAGATGATGAAGATGTTCCACTGAGTATGCTTTCCATCTTAAAAGATTGGAACAAGTTCTAATTAATTTTATTTTATTGTATTTAAAGGTTGCATTTTCAGCAAGTTTTGCATTACGGGTAACCAGAAAGGATACATTTGCGAAGATGTTAAATGTGCCTGATCCTATCGATGACATTCCGAATCAAACATCCGATGATAGACGGCGACTGATGCACAAAGCAAGTATAAAGTTGGAAAGGTTCTTTTTTGTACTTGCATTAAGCATTTTGTCAGTAATTTCAAGCTTTTAGTAATAACCGAGTTGTTTTCCAACAATTTCGCAGCACATATGTCAAGTTTTTAGGAAGTTAAGTGAACGTCCTTCTATTGAAGAACTGGAGCAACGTAATATTTTGAGAGCCAAAGACGCTTCGATTTCTTCTAAAATCGCTATGGACGAAACACGCAAAGTCCTGCTGCGTAAGGTGAGTGTTCATTTCAATCGTTATTTCGTATTTGTAATTTACTAATGTATTTAATAGGAAGTTATTGTGCAAGCATATTTAAATTGAAATCATGATGTCTGTTTCTTTCAGCTCAGTTTCCGCCCAACAATACAAGAGCTGAAGGATAAGCAGATAATCAAATTCAACGATTATGTGGAAGTAACAGAAGCAGAAGCATATGATCGAAAAGCAGACAAACCTTGGACAAGATTGACTTCAATTGATAAGGTTTTAAAATTTTTGTTGCAGACCGACTATGTTTCAGTCATCTGTTTATAGCCCATTGATTTGGGAAAATAATATAAATACCAATGACAGTCATTTCAGGCACTGATCAGGAAGGAGCTGAATGATTTTAAGGCAACAGAGATGGATGTGCATGAGGAAAGCCGAATATTTACACGGTATCTCTTCCAGCTTTGTTTTTTAGACTTTACTTACAGATTTTTTAACCTTAAAACTACTTTTTTAATATATGGTAATGGTAAGAAGCTTTTATCGGCTTGCATCAGATAATAAATCTTTTCAGGTTTCATCGTCCGTAAAATTGTATTGTATCATTCGCTCGCGCATTTTCTTTTTGCTGAATTCATGACATTTTATAACGTTACGTCATTACTTTTTATATTTCCATTGTTTCGTTGTCACCTATTATTGCACAAATTCTTCTTATTTACAACCTTTTATTTAATTTACGGATTATGAATTTTATTTTCAACGAGTCCGACCTAAACATAAGTCCCTTTGCAGTAATAGTTGTTAGCGCTAACAACAGCCGCACCCAGAAATCATTTTTAAAAATTTGTACTTTTTATCACACGCGTTTATGACGTTTTTTTCCGGTCTCCTCTTTTCTTTCTACAAAACATATTAAACAAATATTGCAGCTGAAGTAACAACTTCTAGTGTGGCTGTTCCATCTGTATATTGTAAAATTTCTTGTCTCATCGTTTTCAGACTGCAATGTTCTTTATACAGAGAATTTGAAGTGAAATATTTTTGTTGATCGAAAGTGCTATGTACATTTTTTTTCTGTCTCCTTATTGTTCTTGAAACTATATTAATGATTTTTCTTGTGTATGAGTGTTCTGTAAGTGCCAAGTGTGAGATATTTGGGTGTTGTATTTTTAACTCATTCTGAGGACCAAAATTAGCACCAAAAACTTCCCACCTCATGTTTTTTGAAAGTTGAGTTTCTTACATTTCTTCCTTTTTGCCTACCATTTTCTCTCTAAGTTGCCTTTTCTTGCGTAATCTTCCATTGAGAAAGATTTCAAAGATTTGTAGATAGAGAACTGAATCCACATTTGTTTTTTATTAGTGTCATTTAGTATTCCAACTTTAATGCATAAGTGTTCCGTGGCAGATTTCGAGCTAGCAGTGACAGTGACGTCTTGTTAATCATTGTAAAGCGATACATAGATATCTTATAAGAAGACGGTCCAGAGAATAAATATCATACATAAGTTATTAGAATGGACCTTACATTTAAACATCGAGCACTGTCGAAAAAACTAGTGCATAGCATATTTTTTCTCAGCAGCTATTACTGGAAAAAATCGAATTTATACATAAAGGAAGTGTGTGATTTGTAGCATATCAGTCTAACTGATAACTCTATGTTAAAACACTTAGAAAAAAGTTTATACGGATTAAAACATTAAAAATTGCATCCAAACATAGTTAATAGTAAGTACTGAAAAATCCACAGCTCGAAATATATTTGCTTCGAAGGTAATATTACTTAGCTGTAAAACCAGTTAGGATAGTTTGCAGAAGTTTTTTGCAAAAAAAAGCTTCACAATGTTAATTATCTCTAACTGAAATCTATATGGATGTAATATGTAGAGAGTAGCGAAAGTAAAAATGTCATCGACCTGCTCTTTTTCGAATACCATAGTTGTAAACATGGGCCATATTGACTTCCGTTGTCGTTATCTGATCCTTAAGGAATGCTAACTCTTTCTCGTATTTCGTCACTCCATCATTTGCTAAAGAAAATTTAACAGTATTAGTTAAAATATGCATTAGCCTAGGAAGAAAATAACTTACGCCATATTTTATATAAGGCAAAAATACCATAAGCCAGGGATTCATCACCACCTACCGATTAGTGAAGTAATACTGACATTCTTTAGAGAAAGATTAATTTCAATCGGAAAAATAAACAAATGCAGGTATTTTTCGATAACGAACTTATCAGTTCGTTATCGGAAAATGTCTGATAACAGAGAGTTAGAACTTACCACTTTTATAATTGTCTTCAAGTATGCATCGCGCTTCGCTCAGACTGAATTCCACCATAACATTAGAACCAAGCCATAGAAGTACCTGAATTAATTTTCGTTTTAAACTACCTTAATTGAACTAATTAAATATACAATTTACTGAAATAAACGATCTAAAGTATATTTGACTACCTTATCAAGTGAATCTGTTTTCACCCGCTGGTAAACATGATCACTGAGCAAATGTGTCACTTCAATGGTTTCCTTTTTTTTCTGAAAAATTAGTATAAGATTTAAAAAAATTTTTAGGACATAGACCAAGTTTAAGGAAGGATTGGTAATATAAAAAAGAAAGATCTTAGATTAAACAGATTAGAGTGAAATAAAATAGAAATCCAACATACCGATTTCTCTTCTAAATGATTGACTACTTCGACCGATTTTTTCAAATCCGGAAGCTTCGAAATTAATCTGTAAAGAGACAAGAGCTTAAAAAATACATTAATAGAGTGAATTCGTAACGGACATTTCCACTTACGTTGTTAAGAAACGTCGCAGTATACCATAATATAATTGCTGAAATCTTTTTTTGCGATCAAAGCCTAAAAGCAAAAGAGTGCGCTAAAACACTACACTACCGGAATGAATTGAAATAATTCTTGCAGAAAACAGGAAAATGAGTACAGAAATGGGAACAAACTGAAACAGCATCTCCATTCCCAATCAACTGTTCCGCATAAGGGTAAAATCTCCTCTTATATTAAGTAGCACAGTTGGCTATGCAAAAGGTCATATTCATATTTACTTTATCCTTATACCAAAAGTCGTCCTTCTCTCT